AAGACATGTCTTCTTGACATCAATGTCTATAAAAATAAGATATCAAATGAAGGCTAAATACTACCTTTCCCCATGTTCATGTTTGTCCTTTTGTAATTGAAGACAACGATGTCCATCTGTTCAGATACAGCTTATTGTTTAAATATCTCCATTTGTTACTAATAGTTAGAAAGACAAGGAATAGTTCCACTGAATGTAATAAATATTTAATTTGATCTACATTGATTTTTTTTTAACCACAGTCTCTATATTTTTCCATGTCCTTTTCCATCTGCCCTGAAAATAACAACCTCACGCCCTGTAGGACTCACATATGTTCTCTTGCATGCTCAGTTTCTGTTCCTATTTCTTTTCTAGTTTTTATAATTGTCCTGAACCCATTGGTTTGTCATAGAAACTTCTTGTTGCATGTCTAGATCCTTGCAATGTGACTTTTGTCTCTACAATTTTCTAGACAGTTTTTAGTCTTCCAATATTATTTTCTTAACTGTTGACAGTTTTAAGGCAGATGATAATTTTTTTTTTTTTTTTTTTTTTGAGACAGGGTCTCCCTATGTCACTTAGGTTGGAGTGCAGTAGCACAATCTAGACTCACTGCAAGATCAACCTCCCGGGCTCAAGCAATCCTCCTACCCAAGCCTCCCTAAGTAGCTGGAATCATAGGCATGCACCACCATGCTTGGCCTCTGATTTTTGTATACTTGGCTATTGAGGCACTTCTTTTGCAGATTGTCCTCTTTAAGTAATTTCCTGTTGGTTTATTTCTTTAAAAATTATTTTATTTTACTTTCTATAGGACATCCCTTGTGTCTAGCTGGTCTTTAGGGTTCTTGCTTCAAAATTTTTCCTTTCTAATATATACTCACTCTGAAAGAAATTGAATCCTCATTCTGGGCTTCATCAGAGGGTGAGGGGATTTGAATGAATTAATTTAGAAAAATATCAGTAGGTAACAAATTATTCAAAAAATTACAACAAAAATCTTAAATTACTTTGGGATTACTCCTCCAGATTAATTAGTTTCTAATGTTTCACAGTTTGAGATTATAGGCTAAGCATTAAAGAATTAAGCTAGGCACAAAATTCAAATTAGAGTTATTAATCAATTATCATCATGAAGTCTGTTAAGTGATGCATATGAATCCTGACTATGTCTAAGGACTTTGCAGGTTTGGTATTTTGAGTATTATACTCAGTTCAAGAAATTACTTTCCCAAAGGTACAAAATCTTAGTTTTCTCTCAAGACTTAAGGTAGCTCTTTAGTCCTGCTTATAATCTTTAAACATGTATTTTATATGATATCTCCCATCTCAAATGAATATTAGCACAAGGAAATTGAATCAACTGACTAAGCCAGAGATCAGCATTTGGAAATCATATTTTTAAGAGTCATATATAATTAGATATTCTTTTTTAAAAAACGTTTTACATCAATGCATTTTTATTATTCTGTTTTCCCATTACCAGTCTAGATATTTCACTACTTTTCATTCATCCTTCATGATTTTTTTCTTTGACAGACAATTTATTAAATCAGTGAATTCGTGCTGATATGGGAGGGGGGCAGGAAAGTGCTGGGTAGAGAAGGCAGGTCCCTGGCGAGGGCTCCACCTCACGGACCAAGGTGAGGACAGGCATTCCTGCTTTTGCACCTAAATGTTGCATTTTCCAAGACCACCCTGGCCCACCATGCACCCATACTGGGCCTCTAGAAACCTGAGACCTTAGCAGGCAGACACACAGGAGGCCAAACATCCAGAGAAGCGTATCAGTGGGAGAAGACACAAGCGCTGGAGGCGATAGGATGTGGAGGGAGCTGCCCGGGAGCAGGCAGGTGGAAGTGCACACTGACAGATGTGACGGGCAGGCAGGCCATCCACCAGCAGGACGAGACGGAGTTTGGTGGGGCCAATCGCAGAGCGGCCCAACTCTAGAGGAAAGCCTCTCCCTTCTGGCTCCCCCATCGGTGAAGAGCTACTGCTACTCAGTAAATCTGCGCACTCCATCTCCAAGCCCACGTGTGATCCGATTCTTCCGGTAAACCAAGGCAAGAACCCCGATACAGAAATCCCTCTGTCCTCGTGACAAGGTAGAGGGTCTAACTGAGCTGGTTAACCCAAGCCACCTATAGATGGCAAACTAAAAGAGCACCCTGTAATACACGCCCACTGGGGCTTCGGGAGCCGTACACATTCACCCCTAGGCACTGCCTTGGTGTTCGAGCCCCCAACCTGTCCATCTGTATGCTCGCCTACAGGTTCGAACAGCGGAGCACTGAAGAAAGGAACCATTCCCAACACCATATTCCCTGTGAGAGGGACAAGGGAATATTTCCTACTTCAATAAATAGGAATTAGAACTTTCAATTAGATTAAAAATTGGGTGCATTTCAAATACATAAAATACTTTCGGTTGGATGGAGTATATGACAATAATTAGTCCTGATTTTAATGGCAGAGAAGATGACAAAACAGCATTGGTGGTGAAAGACTATTATGGCATTTTCCACTTGACATTATCCTAAGTGTGTTAAATAAAAGAAACAATGTAATGATCTCAGGGAAGCTATGTAGCTAATACTAATTTAAAATGACTAATTTAAAAATGAAAAAAATAACTGATGTATAAAAAGTGGTCTATGTGTGATAGATAGAAGTTTTCATATGTTTAGTTTTTGTATAATTCAAACCATTTCTGATGCTATAGAGGGTACTCAGTGGAAAGAGACAGGAAAAATGTAAAGAAAAAAATTTGCAAATTAAAATAGAAGATTATTCCACAGATAAAGAAAATATTCAGTTTTCTATTAGAGGTGGGCCACAATTGACACATAACTAACTCAACTTTATTGTTTGTTTTGTAATATATTTTACAAATTTGGTAATAAATATATATTATTTGCTAAAAGAAGAGAGTATGGAAAAATCAATTTACCTATCACACTTTTAGCATTTTGTTCAGTATAAACATTATTTAAAATATTTTATAGTAAACGCTAATTCATAAGAAAGCAGAGGAAATTAAACAAACAACAACAACAACAAAACACTTTTTATTCTAAGTAGGAAAATTTTGCTTCCTAAATCTTCTCACAAAACTCATTAGCATGTTAAATTTCTGAGTAGCGTGTGATGTGAAAATTTTCAAATTTCCATAACTCAATGGTATCAGATAGGGTACTTCCACAATCCCAAAACCCGAAAAGGAAAATAGTAACATATTTTGGAAACCCTGATATATAGATTAGCAGTGTTTCTCTTATTATACTTGATAGTAATGCAATATTTGTTATGCTATGTTTTAGATTTTTAAAAATTATTATTATTATTGTTTTTAGTTTTGGGGTACATGTGCAGGATGTGCAGGAATGTTATATAGGCAAACATGTGCCATAGTGGTTTACTGCACCTGTCAACCCATCACCTAGGTATTAAGTTCAACATGCATTAGCCATCCTTTCTAATACTCTTCCTTCCCTGACTCCACCCAACAACAAGCCCCACTGAATGTTGTTCCCCTTCTTGTGTCTATGTGATCCCATCCTTTAGCTTCCACTTATAACTGAGAACATAGGGTGTTTGGTTTTCTATTCCTACATTAATTTGCTGAGGATAAAGTCTTCCAGCTTTTTCCATGTCTCTGAAAAAGACATGATCTCTTTTCTTTTAATGGATGCATAGATTCCATGGTGTATATGTACCACATTTTCTTACACCAGTCTATCGGTGTAAGAGTGGACAGATAGAGTGCAGTGAATGCTTACAGTGACAAGTGAACATTATAGCAAGCAGCTATGGAAATGGGCTACCTTAATAACATATATGTGTCTTAAAAACACATCATCAAGTGAAAAAAGAATGATACATACAGCACAGTTTTCATAAGTACAAAGTATATGCACAGTCCCAAAATATTTTAGTAAAACATGTACACATAAAATATAGTACAGTAAACGTATTTAATGACTTTCTATAAGGGGAGTGGGAGTGGTGGAAGAAAGACTAGTCGACCACAGGGACACTGGGAAATTATAATAGCCAAAGGGACCTTAATGGGAGTTACGTGATAATGAGCAAAGGACTAGAATGCACAATTAACTAAAGGCTCTGCATCTGCTTTTTAAGAAAATATATGGAATATACTAGATATGACCAGACACGTCATTACAAAGATGTAAAACCTATTATGCATTAAATTGCAGAATATTGTATTGCACATGTTAAAATATGAACAGCAATATATATTTTTAAGCATTAAAATGTTGATATAAGAAATATTTACTGAAAAACATTATTAAAATAACCAGACAAAAATCACATAACATGCTCACTTAGACAGCATATATATTAAAATTCGAATGATACAGAGAAGAT